CCAAAGTTGGATGACTGCCAAAGCCTTGATTGTCCTTAGAATTGCAAATTTACTTTTTTTTGGGTTCCTTCAATCAACGCTTTTCAGCAATATCCACACAGACATGTGTTTTTAATTGGGGTGTTGGATGAGCCCCCACCCCCAAATCCCGAAAAAAAAAACAATACAGTTTTCCAGACCGACGGAAAAATATCAGATTGTTCGCTCTCAATACCTGGACGCACGTGTATATTGTCCCCTCGAGGCCTCACTTCTTCTGATGACGTGTATGCCCAACAGATGACCTGAGCAGACATCGAAGTCTCCGGCTGAACCTCCAGTCTCGGATGTCGCCCTACCATATGTTCAAGGATGTGAATAGATTCCCCGTGCCTGACGACAAGGTGCCTTGGAGTGTAAGTGGACTGTTTTTTGTTGGTCTTCCTCATCTCCCTTTTGATCTTCTCTTCTCCTCATCCTCTCCTCGTCCTCCGAGGTCGAGAGACTCCAGATGGTGACAACGTGGTGCCTTTGGGATGTAAGTGGACGGTTTTTGTTGGTTTTCCTCTTCTCCTTGATCTTTTCTTCTCTCTCATCCTCCTCCTACTCCTACTCCTCCACCTCCTCCTCTTCCTTCTTCTCCGAGGTAAAGAGATCCCAGGTGGTGACGACATGGTGCCTTGGACTGTAAGTCAATCGTTTTGGCCCTCCTTTTTATCGTCTTTATCTTGTTGTTGTTGTCATCGTTGTCGTCGTCGTTGTTGGTGGTGTTTCTGTTATTTCTTCTTCTTCTTTTTCTTCTTCTTCTTCTTCTTCTTCTTCTTCTTCTTCTTCTTCTCCTCCTCCTCCTCCTCCTCCTCCTCCTCCTTCTTCCATACCCCTGATCTTAAGGTAGGTAAGATCATACACCAAGCCTTGTCATCTGTGGACGGACATTCTCGAAGGGTTATGTGTGCATGTTAAGCACGTTACAGGCCTCTCGCTGATTTAAAATCGTAGAAATCGAAGAAGAGTAGGCAGGTGGTCTGCCACGTTGGGAAAATCTTTTTTCTTAAATGTCCTCCATTATAATATCCTTATCACACCTGTAGGATTGTAATATACAGCTTTACACTGTTCTTGATTCCAAAGGTACTGACAATGTATCTCCTTTGGAAAGTATCAAGGAAGTCAAGTTCTGAAGGGAGGGAAGTTATACTTTGGCAATCTTCTTCCTCTATGTCTACCCCCAAGCAAAGCCGTATCATGCTTTCTGTTTTAAGATCTACTTCCCCTATACATCATTGCAAAACTGAGCAGTTCTCTTTTTGTCATTAAATGAAAATCGAAAATTAAAATTGAAGCACCAAAAGAACAAGAAAAAAGAGAGGAAAACGCTCACCCTGAAAATGTCTCTGAAGGACTTCAACATAAATCCTAGGACATTGGAGAACCTAGCTCCTGACTGATCCAGTTATAGAGCAGCAATCACGGTGGGCAGTAAGTCATATGATATTTCCATGCAAGCTGCTCATATCCACGAGTGGAAATGAAGTTTTCAAATGCTCAAAAAATGTGGCATACATTTCTCCGCCAGAATTTTGCTACCTTAGAATTACATAGTTCTGCCTGACATTGTTGGCCGTTTTGAGTTGCCAATACAATGACGTCAGAAACCTAATGTTCTATTTGCTCTATCATAATTTTAAGATTATTCGGACTTTTTGTCAAGATATTCAACAAATTGCATTCGAAAAAGCTTGACATGTTGTGAAACTCAATTTTTTAAAATTGATTTCTCAAAACTAGGTACTGAGCAGACAGGACTTTGTAATTCTGGGGTAACGATTTGTCTCACTGACCATAGCTGAAGCCACAAGTCAACTTTACCCTTTCTTCTATTATGTTAAGGGGCGGTGCTACTGAAATATCTATCTCTTTAGATTCTCCATATTACACAATGTTTTATGCTATCACTGTGTTCAGCATGCTCATAGGACATGGTTAGGGATTTAAATGTGATGAAATCATCTCTCATCGACCACTGAGATGTATATATTTTTATAACAGTTACTTCACAATTTAAGACGTTGAAAAAATCCAAAGACTTTTCATTTTTCCAGCAACTTTTTTTTGTTATTTCGTAAGATCATCAACTACTACAATACAAAACGTCTGTCAACAATAAAACTTCATACTTCAATTAGTTCTGTTTTAGCAGATTGTTTTGTGTGCTGTGTCGGAAAAATGCGAAAATTTTAGGGGGGGGGGGGCTGAAAGAAAAATTAAACCCCCCCCCATGAAACCAAAGACTATATTTATTTGATGTTAACAAAATGTTGCAATATGATTGTAAAGACATGGTGCGAAATTTGAACCTTATTAGACGTGGGAGCCTTTTTACTGTTAGTAGTGTTAGTACTGAAATCTTAGGAAATGAGACAGTTTACGTAATCCGTAAAAATAATGTGGAAAAAGCAACCTTTACTTAATATTCCTCTGGTTTGCCCTGAAATAATGATTATATCCCTTCAAATCCGTATCTACTACTTTCAATTACACTGAGGACATATACAACAGCTAACGCTGTACACATGGGAAATTATAAAAGAGATGAATTTTTGCGTAGCACCTTCCCTAAACAGATATGCAGATGCATTGGTCATCGTCCGACAATGACGGAGGAACTGCAGTCACTGTACTTTGTTCTTCTACTATGGTGGGTGGTTGGCGGGTGCTTTGGTGTGGTTTGCACCTCCTTTCATATTAAAAAAAATCTATCGTCATTATCTTTCCTCCGTCTTTTCCTTGTATACTACTCTCATGTAACTACTCTAATCTGCGGCACGTATATGACCTATTTGCGTTGCTTGTGCCGTAAAACTGTCAGTAAAACTACACCAAGTTCCCGTCCTCCCCGCCTGAAGCCTGCCACTCTCCCACAGGTTCCCTTCCCGGCCTACAACCCCCGGAGCTTCACATGGAAGAGGATTCTCGACGGCCCCTCTTACTCGGACATCGACCTGTAAGTTCTGTCAAATCAACCTGTTACAGTTAGCACGTTCTGTCACACCAACCTATACTGACAAGCATAATTAACGCGAAAAAGTAGCACCATGTGTAGAAAACAAAACTGGGTATTTTCGTGAGTTGTTTTCATGATTTGTCTATATTCACAATGTGTTCTTGTTATTGGATTCGCTCGATTTAAAAAACACAACACGCTCATTGGCCGCTTATGCATCAAACAATACAACAAAGCAACCCTCTCAATGGTACGCAGTTAAAACGTGAATCGAACCGTGAATTTTTGCTTACATGTTAAGTTGGTCAGGCCTATAAATTCTCTGCCCTAAAATGTTTGATCGGGTGTTGCATAGTCCGACTATCAAGATGCCAAGATTATGTGCGGACAATCGAGAAAGAGATCTTGGACGTCTGCAAGCTGGCGGGAGCCCTCAGCGGGTGGCAACAGTCCTGGGAGTGCAGGCCAGCACTATCTACCGCCTCCAAACAGATTCCACGCAACCAACTCCACGAGAGATCTCCAAAGAAGCGGAAGACATCGACTGACAACAGCTGCCCAAGACCGCTTCGTCGTACGTCAGGATCGCCGAGATCCACGGTTGTGCGCCTCCGAGACAGCCCAGAACACCATAGAAAGGCACGGTAGAGCTGTGAGTGACCACACCACATGCTGCTGACTTGTGGACAGGGGGCTGCGTTGTCGGCGTCCGGAGCAGAGAGCACCCCTGAACGTCCATCATCGACGAGCTCGTCTTCAGTGAGCTCAGAACCACGTTAACTGGCGTCATCGCCAGTGGCAGCGTGTGATCTTCAGCGACGAGAGTCGCTTCTACGTCGATCCTGACAATAGACGAGTCCAAATTTGTCTTCGCCCCGAACAACGCTACTCTGGCGAGAACATCTGGGAGAGAGACCCGTGGGGAGGTCAAAGCGTGATGATATGGGGCGCAATCGGTATAAATCAAAGACTGTGCCCCATAATCTTCCACAATTTAGGGTCTGGATGTGGCAACAGAGTGACGGCACAGCGCTATATCAACCAAGTCCTGCAGCCCTATGTAGCTCCATTTCAAAACCACCTATTTCAGCAGGATAACGCCCGACCTCATACAGCACGTGCTACCCAGAAGTTCCTGGTGCAGAACAACATACCCACCACACCCAACCCGATCACCAGATGTGAACTCAATAGAACACCTTTGGGACATCCTTCAGAGGCGTCTCAACCAACTCCAGCCCAGACCCCAGACAGCCGCTCAACTGGGTGTTGCTATTCTTCTGGAGTGGGTGCAGGTCCCCAACTGCCAAATCAATCGCTTGGTCCACTCTGTGCACCGCCGATCCACTGTTGTCATCAACGCTAATGGGGGCCACACCAGATACTGACTGGAACTTAAGCCCTAAGGTCAAGGTCATTGATGCTGAAAAACAAAATCTGTCCCCAAGCAAATCTCCAACTCTCGAGCATTGTTTTGTGCGATTTGAGACTCCTCAAACCTGTTTCTCTAAATAAAAATATTTCTTCACTCTTTCCCGACCTAGTTGTTTTGAGGTCTAGACGTAATTAACTTGGGACTCGATTCGGCTACGCAGGTGGTGTAAAAAATAACTTCATATAAGCATAATCATTCCTCAAAACGTAACATATGATACATCAAATTGAAGCAAATTGAATAAGAAATACATTCCAACATAAAACAATTATAAATTTTTAACATAAGCGTGCATTACAAAGGTTAGAAATGGCGATGGTGGTGAGAAAAATACATTTTGACGGAGAAAAAAATTACTCACACTAAACATGTGAAAGCGAATCGGCATAGCTTTCTTATCATATACAGGCCAAGAGCAGACTCCATAAATTTCTTAATGTGCAGCTTTTTATTTGAATGCAATATTCCAATTTTTGTTTGAGTTATGATATTTATACTGAGACTGGTTAGATCGTTTTGTTGATGCAAGACCACAAGAACTAATTCCCTCGTTTTTCGCCAGACCGTCACTTTGACAAAGTGAAACTAGATGTTTTCGTTTCCTTAACCCTTTCCAAGTTTTCAATATCAATGAAAAGTACTAATAATAAATAATGGATCATGTTAAAACGAAATAAAACTGAGGCACCCCATCTAAGCCGATATATCGGCTATACGTCTGCAAGGGATGTGGACTCGCGCCGATATATCGGCGATAGGCCTACGTCTGGAAAGTGTCCAATTTACTCTCCTCTTCTTGTGTCATGTGGATTCGCATTGCTTTTGCCGGTAAGAATGTTATTTCCAGTCACAGATAGTTCTTTATTTCGCTTCAACTTGTCACAGAGAGTGAAAAAAATGGAGAATTGATATTGTTTTAACGACCTATCCACACTGTCAGGTTATTTAAGAGGCGGGACCGCTGAGTTTAAAGTCCATCTCCGAAAGGACCGATCCAAGTAAGAAATTCGTATAAAATGCCTTTCCCAGGGACACAACGTCGAACCGAGCTGTTCTCGAACCCCCGAACCCGATTTCTCACTCACAGAGCGTACCTTATGTCGAATCAACATTTCACAGATAGAACCTTATGTCCTGAATACACTGGTCTGCCTGGCATTAACACGTTGAATCACGTTTCATAGATTATCTGGATTAAACACAATCTACAGTAAATATGTCGTGACGTGGGCGAAGTCAGGCGCTCGTCAGTTACTGTATAGGTTCCACTCAACATTTTTGGCTTAAAGCACAAAACATGTAAATGTGTAGTTTCCAGGGGCCGTAAAGCTTCAAAAGTCACCAAACTTTGGCGGCCATTTTCTCACAAAGTTTACCTCAGGTACGTGGCGAACCCCACTTCCTTCAATCGCAAATTTAATATATGTCAATTTTCTAATCAAGTTAGATGGGTAATCTTTTTTATCAAATGCAAGACAAATAAATAGGCTTTAAAATGTTACCAATAATTATTTTTTAATAAATCCATATGCCCCAAAGATTGAAAAAGCCTGATTTAACCACGCCGTATCCCATTTTGAAAATGTATTAATTTATTATTATTTTCGTTATTTTTATATTATTTGTTATGATTTTTTTTACTTTAATTTCTTTTATATAGATTTTTTTTTGGGGGGAGGGGGGTGTTATTTCATGTTCTTTTGGAGGGGATGGGAGTTTCGGGGGGGGGGGGGGGGGGGGGTACACCAGTTCTAATGAGCACTATGCTGGGGTACCCCCAATTCTCACGAGCACATTTCTATTAATACGCTTTTCTGACTCTCAATGAAACAAAGTAAACTAAAAAAAGACAACGTGAGAACAAATATTTATCAAGTAAGATTCCAATACAGCAATGGTGAAGCGTTTAGCCAAATCGCTACCTCAAAATTACAAAGCTCTATCTGCTTAATACCTAGTTATGAGGAATGTGACGTCACAAGTTTTAAGTTTCACAATATGTCAAGTTTTTTCGAATGCAATTCTTCTAACATCTTGATAACGACTTCAAATAATCTTACAATTTTGATGGAGCAGACTGGGCATTTTTTGTTTTCTGACTTCATGATCCAAGTAACTCAAAACGCCCAAAATGGCAAATAAAACTGTGTAATTCTGAGGTAGCGAAATGGCGCCATAATGTGTGTCACAACATAGTGAAAAACAGGCGCTCGTCAATTTTTGGACGTATGCTCATGGAGATATTGCTGTCATCTAAAAGCTTGTTCATTTGTCTTGATTTGATGAAAAAAAATCTCTTAAATAGAAGTCGAGATATTCGCGAATGAAAGACTTAGGGGTCGACTGGCGTCAGAGATAAAAATTCGCGAGAAATGGCCACCAAAGTACGGTGATTTCCAAAGTTTGAGTGTCCTTATAAAGTAGCTGTAAATCTACATTTATTTTGTGTGCTATTGATCAAGGTTTATTCAGTAAAATCCACACAGAAATACACATGTCTTTTATTAAATTGACACAAAAGATGTTGAGCCAAGAGAGCAAATATAAGAAATAAGTTGGGGGAAAACATGCCGGTTTATTCGATTTCTTTCCGTACGAGCGGCTCATTTCACGACGATGACACACGTATTGTATTCTTCTCTTCCAGTGAACCGCTCTCGGAGCAGGAGCGAAAGGACAAGAACATTCCCTTCAACCGCGAAGACCAGGTTTGTCATGTGAACAGGACCAGTCTAGAGGACACGCCCTATGAACTTGACCGCGGCATTCCTCTCAATCCCATTGGTCGGACCGGCCTGAAGGGGCGGGGGAGACTGGGCCGATGGGGACCCAACAGAACCTGGGATCCTGTCATTACCAGGTGGGAACCCTGCCTCAACAAGTCTAGTTAAATGCATCGACATTGTCTAAGACGGTCACCCGTTGTCAACAAAGAAAGTGGCCGTCTTGACGAGTGGCCGTCTTACACAGTGCCATTATAATGCTAAACAAAACTCAAGGGGCGAAATCGGAAGAGGCGGTTTGTACAAGTGATTGTCTTTCACAGGTCGTTGTTGGAGCAGGTTCAACTGCATTGTAGATGTTTCAGGCAATAAACATAATATAATAACTAAATGACAATTATTTACCCCTTTGGGGGGACATGGTTTATAATAGAAAACACACATAGATAAATACATAATTAAAAACTCAGAATTACAAACACGCCATGCTGGTCTCGGATGTGCAGCGCCCTATTTTTTTTTTAGCCAAGGGTGCCAAGTCTTGCTCAAGGACACACCTAAGTGACCACCCATCTAAACCCCGTGTCACCGACACTTGCTAGACATTACCATTTTCTTGCCAATTTTAACTCTGACTCAAGGTGACCACCACCTCCTTAAATTGCGAATAGCTCGACTTTTATTCAAGACAGATTAATATTTCCACTGAAAGCAAAACAAATGAACAAACTTTAAACACTATCGCTGTATGCCCACAAACTGACGAGCGCCTCATTTCGCCGTGTCGTGGCACAATTTTTTCAGCTGCAAGTCGCAGGAAAAGGTAACTCTATTGTTCTCAATACAAAAAGACTTCATTCACGAGTCAGGAGTTAGCTGTCAAGACTGCCTGGGCCAGTTTCCATGAGCCGTGAGCTGAAGAATCCAGTTGTCTTCTAGCTCAGACAGTTCTTTAGTTTGTTTCACTTGTAGTTACGTGGATTATATCCTCTGCTGTTGTCCACTTGTTGGTTTTTTTAACCTATTTTGCTGTAGTTGTTGTAGTTGTTCATGTTCTTGTTCTTGTTGTTCTTGTTGTTGTTAGATGTATTGTTTAGTTTTCAATAGTCTTGATGTTCATGATATATATATATATATATATATATGTGTGATTGGCGGGTTTTCTGGTGTGGTTTCCGCTTTCTTTCCTATCAAACATCTATCTCCTTATCTATCCTCATTCTTTTCTTTTCTACAGTAACATCTCTGATCTTCGACACTAATATGATATATTTGTTCCGTAAAACTCTTACCAAAAGTAAAATCTCTTACCTCTGGCACTTATGAGACCTATTTGTGTCGCAAATGCTGTAACGCTACAAAAAAAAAATGCAATAAAATCCTGACCTTTGTCTCTGTTGGGCTTTCACAGATGGAAGAAGAATTCAAAATACGGTTCTCGTGGTCGGCCAGGGGACGACAGGAAAGAGCTCGAGTTTCTGGCTGTGCTCAGGGACGATACAAAAAAGTGGTCTTTTCCAGGGGTGAGTTTACAACAGCAACAATAACAACAGCAGCAACAACAACAATTAAAAGCAACAACAAAAGCAGGGTTGGTGGTAGCGGCAGTAACAACAACAACAACAACAACATCAACCCCAGAAATCAACAGAATCTATCTTCAAAATGACTGCAACAACAATAGCACTCCGTAAAAACAACAACAATAACACAATAACGCTAAAACAACAATTGTCACTCCACACTTCCTGTCATGCCAGATATTGTACTTTCCGGTGCTGTAAACCGATGTCTGCGGTGTGGCAGTTAGGTGCTTCGCTATCCCAGGCAGGAGACCCGGGTTCGATTCCCGGGAGAGGCGAATTTTTATGAGTGTAGGTCTTCCTGCTAAGATGTTATTTAAAAAACAATATCTCTGTCAGACCGGGTTGGCCATGACATTCAAGGCCGGAAGCTCGTCTGCTAAGTGATATCATAGTGTCGATTGGGGCGTAAAAAAAGCTTCTACATTTATTTAAAGGAAACATGTCCAGTTGCCAGTATTGGCTGTTTTGTTTTCTAACCGTGATTTTTGATAGATCGCTACCTCAGAACTACAAAGTTCTATCTACTCAGTACCTAATTTGGAGAAATTTGCCGTCAACAATTTGAAGTTTCACAATAATAATAATAATAATATGTCAAGCTTTTTCGAATACAATTCTTTGAATATCGAGATAACGACTCGTAATAGTCTTTACGATGTTGATAGAGCAGATAGAGTATAGAGTATTTGAATTCTGATCCCACGGTCTGAGTAAGTCAAAACGGCCAAAATGTGAGACAGAACTTTGTAATTCTAAGGTAGCGAGATGTCGTGTTGGGCACGTTCTAGTTGATCTATGCTGATGAAGGCTTTCCTTGTGACAACCTTAAAAAAACTCTTTGTTGTACAGTCTCTACTACAAAGCACAGGATTGTAAGGCCAGGCTAAGGAGCTATTGCCTCTCTCTCTCTCTCTCTCTCTCTCTCTCTCTCTCTCTCTCTCTCTCTCTCTGTCTCTCTCTCTCTCCCTCTCTCTCTCTCTCTCTTTCTCTCTCTCTCTCTCTCTCTCTCTCTCTCTCTCTCTCTCTCTGTCCCTCTTTCTCTGTCTCTCACACAGACACACACACACGCACACACACACACAAACACTTTCACACACGCACACAATAACACATTCACACACACACACACACACACGCAAACACATTCACACACACACACACACACACACACACACACACACACACACACACACACACGCACACTCTCTTCAGTTCTGATTCCTCAAGAAAGTTGACCTCTTAATTGTTTTATAACAGAAGCCAGAATCAGTTACTTCTTAACCATAGCTCTTTCATCAAAAGTAATACATCTTTGTATGCATAGCGTCTAGTTGAGTGGAAATGCAAGAAACAAATGTGTGGGTAAATTTAAACCAGCCAGTGTAATTGCATCATACACCATGCTACAAAGGGAACCAAGCAAGTCGTTCTTGGCATAAAAACAAGTGAAAAAACGAGGGCCGACACAGTGACCATTCAATACTGTTTCATTTTCACGAATTCAGAGAGTTGTGATGGCTATTCAACGGCAACACCAAACAAGAAAACTAAGTTGTAATACTGTATACTTTTATACTTTTATACATGTAATATCTTTTATGTGTGGCATCTTGCTGAAGTCACGTATAAATGATGAAAGGCACACAAAAAATGTACTTCTACAGTTAACAAGGACATTCAAGCTTTGGAAATTAACTAACGTTGGTGGACATTTTTTCGCTTATTTTATCTTTGACACCAGGCGACTCCCTTCAATGGCGAAAAATCTTTTTTTTTCGGAGGGGGGGGGGCTAGGGGGGAAGGGGTTAATGTAGATGTATTTACACCCCCTTCGACATATTTAGATCATTTAGGAGGCAGACTTCCTATCCTAGGCCTACCTGTGAGCGCAAACTCGAGCTGAGAGGGATACAACATCCTAGCAGAAAGACAGAGACAATCTAAGAAAATGTTCACCCCTCTCGGGAATCGAACCCGGGTCTCCTGTGTGTGACAGTCAAGCGCCAACCGCCAGACCACAGACGCCAGTGGAGCCTATCTAGAGTATGGTTGCAGTGAAAGAACACACTAATGACCTAATCAATCTGCGGGTCGGCCACAAGGTCGATTCTACTTTCTTGTGATATTCCTGAATTACAAAGTTCCTGAAGTGTATCATTACTGAACTGTAACATTCTTGAATGTTACATTTCTGAATTATTACATTCCTGAATTGTAACCTTCTTGAATTATAACATTCCTGAATCGTAACATTCCTAAACTGTAGCATTCCTGAATTAAAGGGTGATCCAAAAAAAAACCCTGCTTTTTTTTGTAAATATTTTCCTCCACACGGAAGTTTTGTGTTTCCAATTTGTACACAACATTTTGGCCTCAAAAATGATTTGTCTGGTACATGTACTCATTTTAGATAAATCCACTAAATAGTTTTTCTCTATATAGCGCATAAAAACAACCCATTTTCAGCTATGTCCTCATTTTTTGTAGCATGACGCACAAGTTCGTATTAGACTTACCACTGGAAGTCCCAACGATCGGACCATATTGAAAGCTACAGTTGTCTAACAGTTGTCTAACAAGAAGTCTAGCCGTACTTAAGTACGGCTAGACTGCCAGTCTAGCCGTACTTGTCTTAGGCCGTATTAACATTAGAAAACAGGAGGTTTAAAATATATGCACTGTCATTAAGGTACCTGGTTTCGTCTCAAATGCAAATACCTTAAGTACTGCACACTAAAAATGTATATTTACAATTCAGTAGGCCTATTTTTTTTAATGGTCAGTCTAGCCATCATATCAAGAATAAGTACGGCTAGCCAGTCTAGCCGTCATTAAGTACGGCTAGACTGCCAGTCTAGCCGTCATTAAGTACGGCTAGCCTCTTCCTTAGAAAAAAGGTTGTACAGTTTGTTTGTTTTTTGGATCACCATGTATAACATTCCTGATTTTATGTAAAATTGTTGTAATATTCCTAAGCTGTTTCATTTCTTTCTGTTCAGGGCATGCTTACACTTGACATTAAAGAATTGGACACGCTCAAGGTCAACTTCAAGGTCGAAGGGCAAAAGGATCTGGATCAGAATGCGGCTAATCAGGTGGTGAAGGAGAGGTTGGCTTCAAAAAAACCCCATGAGGTATGTGGGAGGGAGGGATGGTGTGGAGGGCGGTGGTGAGGGGAGGGGGAGATGATGGGGGAAAGGGGAGATGATGGTGGAGAGGAGAGGGAGGTAATATAGAAGTGGAAGGGGGGGGGAGTCATGTTAAATGTATACGATAAAGCCATAAAACTCACACTTTGTGTTGTGCATTGATTTATCATTGGACACATTTGTTTTGAAATAAAAGTTTTTACATTCTCCTGTAAAATTTACCCCGCTGGGGTTAGTCGGTTTTATCACAAGGCCGACGATATGTACGTTTACGTGTGCATATGTGGGTGAATGTATGTATGAGTATGTGTTTATGTATATGTACGTGTATAATATGTATATGAATGTGTATGTGAGGCTATGCATATGCATTTGTGTGTGTATGTGTGTGCATGTGTATGTCTGTGTGTGTAAGAGTAGACTAGATGTACATGCCTGTGTGTCTATGTTTGTCTATTTGTGTGTGTGTGTGTGTGTATTTCTCAGATCTACAAGGGGTATGCAGACGTTCCCATGAACACCGACAATGCCTGGATTGAGACGACGGTCGTGAATATTCATGACGAGGACGGAAAATTATTTGATGGCGTCAGCATTCTTGTGAGTGAAAAAAATATGGTGAAATGGTATAGGTTTAACGCCCCCATCAACACTATTAGGTTATTTAAAGCAATAAGAGGCGGGACTTCCGAGTTTAACGTCCATCTCTGAAAGCACAGAGCCAACTGGGACAGCCGTGTAATGTGTCTTTCCCAAGGACAGAACGTCGGACCGAGCGGAAGCTCGAAGCCCCGAACCTGCAATCTCACGATTACGAGTCCGGTAACCTAACCACTAGGTCACCGACGCCACAATTCTTGTGAGTGTCCTTATAAGTACAGTCGAAATTGTCTAAGACGGTCACCCATTGTGGATGAGAAAAGTGATCGTCTAAGACAGGTTGACGTCTTACACGACGTCATTATACGTGTACATATACAGCAGAAATTGTTCAAGACGGCCGTCTATTGTCGATGGGAAAAATTGTTGCCTTAGACAAGTGAACCTCGTGGGCACTGTCATCATTTTTTTTACGCAAGAAGGGAATGGGAAGTGGCCGTTTGTACAGGTGACTGTCTTATACAGGCGGCCGCAGGAGCGAGCTGGACTGTAAAGTAAATGTATGTGTTTAACACTCCCATCAACACTGTTAAGTTACTTAAGAGACGGGACCTCCAAATTCAACATCCGTCTCCGATAGAACCGAGCCAAATGGGTTGAGAGCTTTGAAAACTACACAAAGCAAGCAGAGTTCCGGAACGCCCTGTATGGGATTTGAACCTGGGCTATCCAATCTGTAGTCTAACATGATGCCAACTAAACTAATTGTGCGCCCATCCTCATAAGGGCTTTAACTCGTTCTGTTCAGTTGACAAGGGCAGTAAGTTGTTCGGCCTCGCTGTGTTGTCAAAAAATACGACTTTGTTAATGTAAATGATGCAAACTGGGGAATATAATCATGCTTCTTTTTCTTTTTTTCTTTTTTTTTTTGGTGATCTTCGAAACATAGCAAGAGAAGGAGTCACTTGCGAGTCGTTTCATGAATTTTGATACACTGGTTTGTTCCGCCTTTGAGATCATTTTTACAATCTGACCCCAGAATGTTCTCTGATGACACTAAGAGAACGGACAACTGTCAGTTTTTGGCTGAGCGTGTAATGCTCCCTTCTTCAGGATTCACAGCAACTGCAATAGTCCCGTCAATTTCTCCTGCCCACAGTTTTTTACTGTAATTTTCTCCAAAGTTGTATGTTACATTTTTTTGCACGCAGCGTTATATTTTGATTGACCTTAATATTTTCCTGATTTGTTTTTTGTGAGTATGACACTAAATTAAAGGATTTACTGAAAGTGGCGAATTCCTTCGATCTGTTTTGGGATATCAGAAAATTCCTGACACGAGAATTCAATATAAACATTAAGGAGGCATTTAGACTTTGACTTTTTCTAAACATATTTTCAGTTTAGTTTTAGTTTTGTTTTTTGTTGTTTCGTTGTTGCTGTTGTTTATTTGTTTGTTTGTTGTTTTGTTGGTGTTGGGTTTTTTGTGGGGGGGGGGGGGGGGGTAGGGGAAACGAGTGCAGCTACAACTAATGATTATAGGGGGTTCTTGGGAGAGATAGTACCTTTGTTCCTTGGCTGCTGCTTCGTGCTTGTAGTATGGACGGGCACACTGGTTCTCCCCTAGACCCCTAAATCTGTCACACGTGGCTCCAAGCGCCATACCCCGGGACCTCACCTCAGCAGACGTGCCAAACCGTGTGAGGGGGTGTTGTTAACACAGCATCACTGGGTGTAACCACAAGATGCGGTGACCGGCCAGGACGGAAAAAGTTCCCAGATGAACCTAACGGCTTCGTGTTCAATGCTGTTGTGCTCTCCTCCCTCCTCTACGGTTGGGAGACCTGGACATTCTACAGGAAGCACACCAACAACTTAGAGCAGTTCCGCCAAAGAGCTCCCAGAAGCATACTTGGCATCCGGTGGCAAGACCGCATCACCAACATGGAGGTCTTCAACCGATCAAGCTCACAAAGCATAGAAAGCATGCTTGCCAAAGCCCAACTGAGATGGATGGGTCGGCCATGTCATCCACATGGAAGACCTCCGAATGTTGTACGGCGAACTCGCAAGTGGCAAAAGAAATCGGTGGAGGCCAAAAAAGCGGTTGAAAGACACAATAAAGGCAAACCTTCAGTTTGCACAGGTTGCCCCAAAGAACTCGAAAGAACTGCCACCGAAAGGAACCCCTGGCACAGGGTTGTCCGTCTTGCCAGCAGAAACAGCAATATCATCCACAGAGAGAAGCTGACTACCAGAAGAGAGAGGAGACATAATCCAACCACCCCCAACCACGACATTCCAGTGTCCCCACTGCAACAAACATTGTACACCCAAGATTGGATTACACAGCCACATGCACGTCCACAGATGAGCTGCAGGATTTCATGGTCATCTTCGGAAACGAAGGACTACCTACACTGGGCGTAACCACAAGATGCGGTGGATCGGCCTGGACAGAAAAAGTTCCCAGATTAACGTAACGTCTTCGTGTTCGAGACCAAGGTGAGCCACCGAATGGGAGGATTTCGGCTGTGGTATGGCACGAAGAGGGGTTGGCTCCGCTACGCGACGTTGCCCAAGAAACTCCAATGAAGATAACAACTAGAAAGAATCCCGCACCGGCTCGGTCGTCGCCCGGAACAAGGGCCGCCTCTTACGTTGATGTTCACCAGGACGAGAGAGGAAACTATGCTACTGAAAGACCAACAAAAAGTGTACGTGCCAGAGAAAACATCGTCATTGGCACGTGGATTTTGAGAACCTTGAGAGAAGCACGGAAGGTTGAGGAACTAGAGCACGAAATGAAAAGATACCGTTGGAACATCCTGGGACTGAGTTAGTTACGATGGAAGAACTTTGGAAAAACTTGAACCCCAGAAGGGCATAAACTATACAACAGTGGCACAGAAGACCGACATGAATATGGTGTTGGAATACTCATTCTAAAAGACACTGTGAATGCCGTCTTGGGTTGCCGACTAGTTTACTGCCGACTTATGGCCATACGCTTGAAAGCATCGCCATTCAACATCACTGTCATCCAAGCATATGCACCAACAACAGCACATGACAATGAAGAAGTGGGGGATTTCTACGTCCAACTCCAAGAAGTACTGGACGAAACACCAAAGAAGGATATCATTGTGGTACAAGGCGACTAGAATGTTAGGATAGGGAAAGATGTAGCGAAAGACTGGGAAGGAATCTGCGGACCCTACTGCAATACCAACACCAGTGACAAAGGTCTACGGCTCCTGGAAATAGCCAGCTATAACGACCTAAAGCTGATGAATACTTTCGGCCCACATAAAGCATCATGGAGATGAACGTGGTCCAGTCCAAGGGGAGATTTACACCCTATAGACTACCTCATAGTCAAGCGTCGCTTTCAAAACAATGTCAACATTGCCAAGACCAGAAGTTTCTAGGAGTAGACATCCTCAATGATCACAAACATGATGGCATTCTCACTGCGTCTTAAAAAGTGCAGGAAATAAGGCAACACCCGGATCAAGTTCACCCTTGAAAGACTCAAAGACCCAACCATATTAAATTGTTTTCAAGCAAACATAGGAGGACAGTTTGGTACACTCCTAGCGCTAAAATCAAGAGGATACAGAAGTTGACTCCCTGACAAACACTTTCAACACCGCCATGACAGAAACAACAAACGAGCTCCTTGGGAAACATCGCGTGAAAAAGAAGCCCAAGGTCACAGATGACATCCTTGACCTATGTGACAAACGAAGAGCTATGAAGAACAAGAAAAAGGAACCGGAAGGTGCAAATGAATACAGAGAGACGAATCTATAAGTGAAAAGGGGAATGAGAGGAGCAAGGGAGAAGTGGATTGAAGAAGAACAGTGTGAAGAAATTGAAGACAGCCTGAATCAAAACAACAGTAAAAAGGCTTACCAAATCATCAAAGATCTCACAAGTACCAAAACAAGGGCGGGCCACATCAATACAAAGTACAGAAAGGAAATGTCTAACTGAGGAACAAGAAGTTCAGAACCCGTGGACAGAATATTGCTATGAACTGTACACCCACAAAACCACAGGAGATACAAGAGTGTTCAATGTCCCCCAATCTCAAGATAATGACAAAAGCAATATCTTAAGAGAAGAGATCGTGGCAGCAGTCTTATCACTGAAGATAGGGAAATCAGCTGGAAAAGACAACATCTCAGCAGAATTAGTTCAAGCAGGTGAGACTCTGTGATAGACATGATATGGATAATCTGCAACAAGATCTGGCAGACAGGCGAATGGCCAATACCATGGACTCAATCCTTGATCATCACCCTTCCCAAGAAAGACAATCTTCAACAATGCCAAACTATCGTACTATTAGCCTGATTAGCCATCCTAGTTAAGTAATACGTAAAGTCATTCTCTTCAGACTGAAGCCACAAGCAGAAAAAATCATAGCAAAAGAACAGGCAGGTGGCAGGACAGGGTTCAGCACAAATGAACAAATATTCAACCTGGGAATCGTCATGAAAAAGTACCTCCAACGCCAACAGGAGCTTCACCACGTATTTGTGAACTTCAAAAAAGCTTTTGACAGAGTATGACAGGAAGCTTTGTAGGCAACCATGAACTATACAACATCAACGCCAACCTGATCTAATTTATAGAAAGGCTATACAACAAAGCTACGAGCCCAGTCTTTTTCAACAACATTGGGGGATGGTTCCCATTAACAATGGGAGTACACCAGGGTTGTCTGCTCTCATCCACTTTTTTCAACATTTTCTTGTAGAGGATCATGACAGATGCACTTGAAGATCACGAAGGAGCAGTCCGTATAGGGGGAAGAACGATTACTAACTTACGTTTTGCAGACGACATAGACGGCCTTGCAGGACAAGAGCAAGAGCTAGTCAGTAAGTCAGCTTAGTAGACCGTCTTGAAAAGACCTCCACAGCCTACAGCATGGAAATCAGCGCTGAGAAGATCAAACTGATGTCATAACAGCAACAAGAACATCACAGTGAGACATCCAAGTCAACAAGCAGACGCTTGAGACCGTACGCAGCTTCAAATACCTGGGTGCAGTAGTGACAGACGAAGGATCAAAACCAGAAATAATCTCCAGAATAGTGCAAACTTCAGCAGCAATGACTAAGTAGAAAACCATCTGGAACAACAAAAATATCAACATCAGATCAAGGATCAGACTGATGTATTCCCTGGTCATGTCAGTATTTCTGTATGCATGTGAATCCTGGACCTTGAATGCTGACCTTGTAAAACGGATCTAAGCTGTGGAGATGAGATGCTAACGAAAAATCCGTGGTATCTCATACAAAGATCACATCACAAATGATGAAGTCAAACAGAGGATCAAAAATGCAATAGGACCATATGCTGACCTTCTCACTCTGGTCAGGAAACGCAAACTGCATTGGTATGGACACATCACCCGTTCATCCGGCCTTGCCAAGATGATCCTGCAAGGCAGCGTCCAGAGAAAAAGGAGCAGGGGCAGACCGAAGAAGAGTTGGGAGGACAAAATCAAGGAATGGACAGCCTGGACCTCAAATACACGCCCAGGAAAGCTGAAGAGTGGAAGGAGTGGAGGAAGCTGGTGGCCAATCCTTAAAAGCGCCCCGACGGACATCCAGTCTACGGGATAGGTGAAGGTCAACCAGCTAGTGTGAAAAAGTCATTTCATGTGTGTGTTTACCATTTTGTTTTCGTCTGTGTGTCCCCAGGCCGGGCCCAAAGCTCGATTTGTGACGTGGCAAACTCTCTCCACCGATCTGCCACTGTGGGGTCCCCATGCATACTTCCTCAGACTGGTGGAGAAGCACGTGAAAGATAACTACAGCGTTACAACAGACACGACGCCTACTTCTGAGCTACGCCCGACATAGGGCCTACTTCTGAGTTACACCTGCCTGACATAACGCCTATTTCTGAGTTACACCTGTCTGACATAGCGCCTACTTCTGAGTTACCCCCCCCCTCCCCCCTCCCCCCCCCCCCCCCAAACACACACAAACCAGCATGGAACTGGCGAAAAAAAAACCAACTTGCGTCACACCCGGTCATATGGTCTCAATATGCAGTTGCAAGCGCTGTAATACTTTTGCAACAACAACAAAAAGTTTACTGGCGAAGTACTAACGCCTGATTTTGCCCGATACGCCGGCTAACACAAGATCGATTTCTGTTTCACAAAATTTCCCTCTTGGATAAACAAACTTTGTCAATAAAATCTATTCAAAAAGATGATTCTAGACTTGGCACAAATGTGGGTCAGTAAGTAGACCTTTTCCAAAACTGTAAGGTCAAAGATAGTTCTACAAGGTGTATGACGTAGTACATATTAGTTAAGGACTTTACAAAATTGTAAAAGTGGTGAGGGCGGGGATTTTCTGGACACTTTTACGCAATCCATCACACCTTTAAAAAAAAAATTTTTAATGAATAAAAAACTGAAGTCGCCTCGGTTCCCGAACGCGCGCCCGACGACCGACGCTATTGTATATATTATACTATTCGTTCCTATATGGTCTAGGCAGATAGTCCAATAATTAGATACGACTGAAAACGAGTCTGTAACATACGAAGGCTGTCCCACGGAAAACCGGAAGAGGTCCGTAAAAGCAAAAATCTTTGTCCTATTATAATAAAACTGTAACACATCATACCTCAACATGTGCTTTATTTCTCAATGTAATCACCATCCCGCTGGACACATTTTTCCCATCGCTGGATCTGGGAGAAGATACCCTCCCTGAAGAATCTTTCGTCAAGGGATTTCAACCAATCGTTCACGGCTTCCACGAGGTCTTCGTCGTCGGTGAATCGCTGTCCAGAAATATGGCGTTTCATTGGTTCAAAAAGGTGATAATCTGACAGGGCCAAGTCAGGACTGTGAGGGGGGTGTAGTAGAACTTCCTGGCCGAACCTTTGGAACCAGTCTTTAGTGACGTTTGCGATGTGTGGCGTTGTGTTGCCATGCTGCAAAATGACCCCGCTGGTCTTTTTCGGCCCCAACCCATCAAGCAGAGACCTTTCAATAGTGCAGCTCATCAAACTCTATCCTATAGACAGTCGACTTTGAAATGTTTAGCGACTCGCAAATTTCGCGAATTTTTAGGCGCCTGTCTGTTTGAATAAGTTCGTTAACGCGACTCTTGTTGTCCTCAGTCTTGGCAGAAAAACAAGATCCTGGGTAAACTTTGTCATTGATATCGGAGTGCCCGGCTTTGAACTTACTACATCACTCATATACCTGTGACTTTGCCATTACTTTCTCCCCATAAACTGACTTTATTTCAGTGTGTATTTCTAGAGGTTTGAGACCTTTTGCGGTCAGAAACCGAATGACAGACCTCACTTCTACCCTTGACCAATTTTCCAAGGGGGTAGCCATCTTTTGAGAACTGCTGTGCTCGTTTGGTTTGTGTGATGCTCATGGTGCTCAATCGGGAAATTTCTAAATGATTGTTTTACAAGTGTGCGCTTACAGAATGGGAAAATATTGAATAGTTTTCAAATTACAGCCAAATTCCGGTTTTCCGTGGGACAGCCCTCGTAACAGTAGTTTCTTTGAATTTTTTTAATAATCGAAATCGACCCAGAAATAATGTATGTGTGAATTCGTAAAGTGAATAATATAACAAAATGGAAGGTGAAATGAAGTTGAAACCTGGACAAGTAAACATTCTCACGGCAGACTTCGCTACTCCGGTAATTACTTTTTTTTTAACTCAAACTGAACACGTTTTATGGTTTAAAAGGTTTATGTGTGGCATCGTGCTGAAATCAGGCGCTTGTCAATATAATATAATGGAAGAAATCGACAGTTGGACAATTTTTTTAATTTTTTTTCCTGAACGATACCTTTTGTGTCCTTTTAAAAACTTAAGTCCATTGATTTTCCTGAAAAGTGTTGATCGAAAGCGCTTCTAGCGTAAATTTGCAGTTTCCAAGGGCACTCAAGCTTTGGAAGTTACCTGGCGGCCATTTTCTCGCTAATTTTTACCTCTGATACCAGGTGACCCCCTACTCCTTCAATCGCAAGTACATTGTATATCGGCTTCTTTTCAAGAAAAATGGATGTCTGTTCCGTAAAAAGCCAGGCAAAAATGAAACCGGCTTTAAGATTATACCAATAAATCCAAATGCCCTAAAACTGACGAGCGCCTGGTTCCACTGCGACGTGACACGTACTGCCAAATCCTTGTTTAAAGCATCCAAGGCTTGATTTTCACGTGTTAGACAATGTACAAATGTTACCATTATCATCATCATAATGATGAACATTATTATCCCTGCTGTTGTTTTAATATTTTTCTTACTGTGTATTGATGTCATCATTATTGTTATGAGATTATGATTATCATTATGAACGCCACATTACATGAACAACTTTCAGTGAAGACCAGTCATCAGTTGTCTGGTGTTTCAATTAATGCATATGTGAGACAGCGTGGTGGAATCAGGATCTCGTCAAAATACTCAAAGTGAAGAAACTTGCGTTTTTCTGCAGGTTTATGAATTGTTTTTCAAATTTTTGTGTTTTGGCTCAACACCTTTCATGCCTAAGAACTGATCTCTGAGGAAAATTTTCTGAAAAACGTTGATTAAAGGCACAAAAATGTAAATTGTCAGTTACCACGGACTCTTAGGCTAAAGAAATAAATAATCTTTGGCAGCCATTTCTTGCCCTCAAGACGCCATTGTTTTCGGTCTTCAATCCCTCACAGGTCACGTGGTACAGTGCCCGTTCTATAAGTGTAGAATTCTGTGCCTCCACCTCTTTCTTTCGCAAATATCTCGACTTGTATTCAAGATAAATGGATATGTTTTTCACCAAAATAAAGACAACTGAACTAGCTTTAAGATGATACCAAAAACTCTACCTGCCCAAAAATTGACGAGAGCCTGATTCCACCACGCTGTCTCACATATATACAATGTATTAGTACTATATATAGTGTGGTTAAAAATTCATGGCGCAACTTATTTTCAAATTATATCGCCTCAACTATCGAACAGACGTTCTCCGATTTTTGCACAATGACTTTTCTTTACAGATCAACATTTTTGTAAACACCTACTAACTGTATTTTAGAAAATTCCACAATGAATACTAATTTTTTAAAATGTAATTATGTGGTTTCTACAGATTTTAAAAGGTTTACAGCTGGGGTAATATCACTTTTAAAAAGCAAAAGCGTCATTGTTTTTCTAATCGGGGCATTATGCTTATTGAACGCAAGTTTCGAAAACCTTTAATACAAAAGACGTGTTCACCATAAAATCAGTTTCTTCTAACAAGTTTTGCTACTAAAAAGTGTCATAGGTGGGTTGTAACGTAGGCCATATCCGTAGGCAAAATGTATGTGGGAAGCGGAAAATGCTGTAAACAATCCCATTTTCTGCGTGACGGAGATTTATAGCATTTTATATAACTTTTGTGGAGAGAAGATTTTAAAATCTAGCGTCGATATGTTGTGGAAAAATACGATTGTGAAGTCAAGACAAATGAATACACACAGCAGTGCAAAGTATGGGTGACAGTGATTCGCCCGTTAAAATAGACATTGGAGGATGGGTTGCACCACAAATGTTTTACCCCGCTATAAAAGTATAGTACCGTCTTTATGTTTGGGCTATTTATAGCATCTAAATTGTAAATGATTATTTTTTCATAGCATAAATGAATCTTTGACATATCTGATGTTACTGATATTTTCTCCGTTCACTTTGGGGCCTGGATTTTCTTTTGTATTTCAATAAGATTATTTTTGAATTTATGCATGTCGTAGTGGTATTGACCTTTAGAGCTTTGTGTGTGTGTGTGTGTGTGTGTGTGTGTGTGTGTGTGTGTGTGTGCGTGTGTGTGTGTTTGTGAGTGTGTGTGTTTGTGTGTGTCACACTAAAAATGTATATTTACAATTCAGTAGGCCTATTTTTTTTAATGGTCAGTCTGCCAGTCTAGCCGTCATTAAGTACGGCTAGCCTCTTCCTTAGAAAAAAGGTTGTACAGTTTGTTTGTTTTTTGGATCACCATGTATAACATTCCTGATTTTATGTAAAATTGTTGTAATATTCCTAAGCTGTTTCATTTCTTTCTGTTCAGGGCATGCTTACACTTGACATTAAAGAATTGGACACGCTCAAGGTCAACTTCAAGGTCGAAGGGCAAAAGGATCTGGATCAGAATGCGGCTAATCAGGTGGTGAAGGAGAGGTTGGCTTCAAAAAAACCCCATGAGGTATGTGGGAGGGAGGGATGGTGTGGAGGGCGGTGGTGAGGGGAGGGGGAGATGATGGGGGAAAGGGGAGATGATGGTGGAGAGGAGAGGGAGGTAATATAGAAGTGGAAGGGGGGGGGAGTCATGTTAAATGTATACGATAAAGCCATAAAACTCACACTTTGTGTTGTGCATTGATTTATCATTGGACACATTTGTTTTGAAATAAAAGTTTTTACATTCTCCTGTAAAATTTACCCCGCTGGGGTTAGTCGGTTTTATCACAAGGCCGACGATATGTACGTTTACGTGTGCATATGTGGGTGAATGTATGTATGAGTATGTGTTTATGTATATGTACGTGTATAATATGTATATGAATGTGTATGTGAGGCTATGCATATGCATTTGTGTGTGTATGTGTGTGCATGTGTATGTCTGTGTGTGTAAGAGTAGACTAGATGTACATGCCTGTGTGTCTATGTTTGTCTATTTGTGTGTGTGTGTGTGTGTATTTCTCAGATCTACAAGGGGTATGCAGACGTTCCCATGAACACCGACAATGCCTGGATTGAGACGACGGTCGTGAATATTCATGACGAGGACGGAAAATTATTTGATGGCGTCAGCATTCTTGTGAGTGAAAAAAATATGGTGAAATGGTATAGGTTTAACGCCCCCATCAACACTATTAGGTTATTTAAAGCAATAAGAGGCGGGACTTCCGAGTTTAACGTCCATCTCTGAAAGCACAGAGCCAACTGGGACAGCCGTGTAATGTGTCTTTCCCAAGGACAGAACGTCGGACCGAGCGGAAGCTCGAAGCCCCGAACCTGCAATCTCACGATTACGAGTCCGGTAACCTAACCACTAGGTCACCGACGCCACAATTCTTGTGAGTGTCCTTATAAGTACAGTCGAAATTGTCTAAGACGGTCACCCATTGTGGATGAGAAAAGTGATCGTCTAAGACAGGTTGACGTCTTACACGACGTCATTATACGTGTACATATACAGCAGAAATTGTTCAAGACGGCCGTCTATTGTCGATGGGAAAAATTGTTGCCTTAGACAAGTGAACCTCGTGGGCACTGTCATCATTTTTTTTACGCAAGAAGGGAATGGGAAGTGGCCGTTTGTACAGGTGACTGTCTTATACAGGCGGCCGCAGGAGCGAGCTGGACTGTAAAGTAAATGTATGTGTTTAACACTCCCATCAACACTGTTAAGTTACTTAAGAGACGGGACCTCCAAATTCAACATCCGTCTCCGATAGAACCGAGCCAAATGGGTTGAGAGCTTTGAAAACTACACAAAGCAAGCAGAGTTCCGGAACGCCCTGTATGGGATTTGAACCTGGGCTATCCAATCTGTAGTCTAACATGATGCCAACTAAACTAATTGTGCGCCCATCCTCATAAGGGCTTTAACTCGTTCTGTTCAGTTGACAAGGGCAGTAAGTTGTTCGGCCTCGCTGTGTTGTCAAAAAATACGACTTTGTTAATGTAAATGATGCAAACTGGGGAATATAATCATGCTTCTTTTTCTTTTTTTCTTTTTTTTTTTGGTGATCTTCGAAACATAGCAAGAGAAGGAGTCACTTGCGAGTCGTTTCATGAATTTTGATACACTGGTTTGTTCCGCCTTTGAGATCATTTTTACAATCTGACCCCAGAATGTTCTCTGATGACACTAAGAGAACGGACAACTGTCAGTTTTTGGCTGAGCGTGTAATGCTCCCTTCTTCAGGATTCACAGCAACTGCAATAGTCCCGTCAATTTCTCCTGCCCACAGTTTTTTACTGTAATTTTCTCCAAAGTTGTATGTTACATTTTTTTGCACGCAGCGTTATATTTTGATTGACCTTAATATTTTCCTGATTTGTTTTTTGTGAGTATGACACTAAATTAAAGGATTTACTGAAAGTGGCGAATTCCTTCGATCTGTTTTGGGATATCAGAAAATTCCTGACACGAGAATTCAATATAAACATTAAGGAGGCATTTAGACTTTGACTTTTTCTAAACATATTTTCAGTTTAGTTTTAGTTTTGTTTTTTGTTGTTTCGTTGTTG